CTGTTACAGTGGGGACTGTAGTAAAAGTACAGTAGGACAGTGCTGTTACAGTAGGGACTGTGGTAAAAGTAAAGTAGGACAGTGCTGTGTACAGTTGGGGGCTGGGCTGTAGTAGAAGAGTAGTTAGAGTGTAGTATTTCTTGATCTGCCTGAAATGTTCTGGCTTGTGAGTGTGAGTGGGCACTGTCAGTGAGCTCAGGAGGGTGTGGACAGCAGGCAGGGCCGGTGTTTCAAGAATGTCTGCAGGCTCTGAGCACACCCCAGTGGCACGGGCTCAGCCAGTGCTTCACGGGCAGGGCAGCTCGGATTCTGAGCTTGTACCTGCACTCAGGGCTGGACGTTTCAACCTGTGAGTCCTCCTACTTCATGGCTGCTAAGTGCTTTGACCTCTGGGGCACCATGTGCTGTGTTGGCGAGAGTGTTAGTACCAGGATGCTTATGTTATGTTTTTCTCCCAGCAGCCCCGGCATTGCTAGGACATTCCCCAGGATTTGTGCACTCTTCGGCAGGCATGGAGGCCACGCAGGCGCCTTCCCTGCTCCAGGTGTGTGTCGTCTCGGGAAACAACAATTGGAGCTGAACTATAGGATCAGCTATGAGGAAATCGTGATCAGCAGATAATGGTTGTAGGAATCTAAGATATGGTCATTTGGATTCAGGATAAAACTCCAGGGCCTGATTGTTTCCCAGTTGTGCTCACGGAAACAAGGTCAAAACTCTTCCCACAATCTCTCAAGATAAGGGTAATACCCAATCATTAGAAAATGAGATTGTGTGTATATTAACTAACAATAAAGGTAATTAGTTATAACAATCAACAGTACTAATTAAAACAAACATGCAGCACGAAGGAAAATCCCACAAAACGAAACGGATGACAAAGTGCTGCGATTCGATATCACCAGTAAGATGGGTCACTCGCTGGTAATAATAATAATAATAATAATAATAATTGCTTACACTTATATAGCGCTTTTCTGGACACTCCACCCCTAATGCGGTCTCTCCTCCACCACCACCAATGTGCAGCATCCACCTGGATGCTGCACATCCACATTGCCCTTCTACCATCCACATTGGATGGTAGAAGCTGAAGACTCAGGTGCTGAGGGAGTTGACTGAGGAGGAGACTAATGCAGCCCTGCATGTGTTCTGTGAGGTTTTTTGTTTCTCTTTCTCTTGCTGTGACGCCCTTACTCGCCTTTGGATGTCTGTTGACATTCGTCACCAGACAGGACTGGGAAGGTAAAGGAGTTAAAAGTTCAAGACTCTAGTAAGTTGCAGTAAAGAACTTCAATTAAACATTCTTCTTCCGAGAATTGGGTTGTCACAAAGACTGCGTTAGACAAGGAAATTGACTTTGATTCATACCTCATTTTAAGAAACTGAAAGTGAAGCGCAGCCATACAAAAACCGTCAGGGTTAGCATTCCTGTCTTGACTCTCTCTGTGCCTGTCTTCCCAGAATCCCCAGCTGAAGCAGCGTGTTTTCACGGGGGTGGTCACCCAGCTACAGGACTACTATGGCATGGTGGATGAGGAGGTGCAGTTCCAGATGAGGTGAGGCTCTTTAAGAGTTATGAAAATATATTTAAAATTGATGCAAAATCCACATAAGGAATTTCCGGCCAGGCTATGTTAAGTAATGACTGTCAGTTTCTCAGTGATGCTGTGCCCAATAGGGTTAGAAAGAGGAGTGCTTTCGGAATCCCAACATTCAAACATTCAGGGCAATGGCATAATTGAACTGTTGACCTCTGAGGACAGTGCAGTAGGACAGTGCTGTTACAGTGGGGACTGTAGTAAAAGT